GGAAAAGCAAGGTACCAAGGGATTGATCTTATCAGGGTCACTGCCAAGATTCTTCATCACATCCCGCATTGAAGTGAGGTCAACCACAGCTGGAACTCCAGTAAAATCCTATAAAAGAAAAGTAAGACCTTTACAAGCTGTTAGGAATTTATTCTATAATTATCAGTTTAACACAATGCTACACCTCTCACCTGTAACAGAACACGGGCTGGCTTAAAAGGAATTGACTTTCATTTAAGCAACTTTCAACAGCTATTTAATTATGTCAAAACGCATCTGGAAAACAAATTCAGAAGTTTCCACTGCTCTAGGGAAGGTTTATGGATTCTGAAAAGAAAATGATGCCGCAGTGCCTGTTCAATCTAAGCCTGCCATATAGGAGTTATTAATCTATTTCATATAAAATAAAGCAAAAATGGGGTGTTGTTCAAAAGCCATAAATTAAGAGATGGGTTTACTTCTTCTTCCCAAGTCTGGGGGCTGGAGGAGGAACCCAAACTTGCCCTTTCTCTAGAGAACTTTCAATAGCACGGAGTCGTGCCCGTGATATATCATGCCTTGCGTGGTTGTTTCTAGCGTTCCAGTTCATAAGTGAAGGAGACTTGATCCTGATACATCTACAACTTGAGGCACAGGGGGTCTTAAAACTGTATCAGAACTCATTGATTGGCAAAAAGCAGCCTGGTAAAAAAGATAGAATCACTAAATAGACTAAAAGAAGTTTAAGGAAACAGGGACGAACAATAATTTCTCAATAAAGCTAAGCAGCTTAAATCAAGGAGTGTTCTCAGGGGTCCTTGTATTTTGCAACCTGAAAACTCAGTAGTGGAAGAAGATGGAATGGTCATAATCACAAATTACGGTTTCAATTTCATCAAATAAAATGAGAAAAATCAAATCAAAGCAAGGAAACAAATGCAGCAAGACAAAAACTCTGAACATAAAAAAATCTATACCTTTAATTCATACCCAATTGCCCATTTTGCTAAACAAATTTTGAAATACAAAAAAAATAAAAATAAATAATTAGCGACTCCACCCCAACTCTAGATGAGAAGTACCCTCTATCCACTTCCCCTTTTCCGTGTGCCCAGAAGCCCAGCTTATGAGCCCCTTTCCGATTCCCTCAATCTATATTCAATAAAAATTACTTCTAAAAATTAGTTGCAAGAGAACACATAATAAGCACTGTGAATTCAAACAGAAAAATAAAAAATAAAACTAGGAAAAACCCTAACCAGGATCGCACTGCTGGCAAAAGTCTTCAACTTCAGCAACAGAAAAGGCGATAAAATAAAATAAGGAAGATTAAAATAATAATAAATAAATAAAGAGTAAAAACCTGTTGTTAGGGCTTTGATAAGGCCATTACGATGACCCTTGAAATCTCCGAAAACTTCAACTGTACGAGGATTCAACTGTCCTTCCTCCATTTTTCAATTTCAACTTCAAAAAAGAATAATTGGAAAAGTCTGCAAAAAGGGCAGAAAGACGAACTTTAGAAGAGAGAAAGAGGAGCGAAACAAGAATTTATATTGAGCGGGGCGGATTTGAATAGTAGAAGGACGGGTTTAATTGGATTTGAGAGTTGGTCACGAGTCTGATGAGTGAGCACGGGAGTCGGGAAAGAGCTTAGAGACGGAGGAGAGGAGTGGAGAGAAATGAATGAGGATTATAATTTCTTTCTTTTTCATTTCATATTAAAAAAAAAAAACTTTTCGCAACACTTAACAAATGTAGCAAACAGTGAACTTTTTTGCAACATTCAGCAAACGTTGCGAAAGGTCTCACGTTTCGCAACGTTTGTCAAACGTTGCGAAAAGTGCCTTTCGCAATGTTTATCAAACGTTGCAAAAGAAAAGCCTTTGGCAATGTTTGTCAAACGTTGCGTTGCCAAAGGCTTTTCTTTTGTAACGTTTGATAAACGTTGTGAAAGGTCTCACTTTTCGCAATACTCAATAAACGTTGTAAAAAAGAGTTTATTGCAACATTTGGCAAATGTTGCAAAAGGCTTTTCTTTTGCAACGTTTGATAAACGTTGCGAAAAATAAAACTTTCCGCAACACTCAATAAACATTGCAAAAAGGGGTCTATCGCAACATTTTTCTATAAAACTTTGCCAAAACTCATTTATACTAACCAATGGCAACATTTTAGTAGACCCTTTTAGCAACATTTATCAACAAATGTTGCCTTTTTAGTGTTGCAAATAACTATTTTAGTTGTAGTGTCAGTTGATTATTTGACCAAATATGCAAATTCATTATCACCCTGCAGCTAACGGCATCACAACAAATATGTATGTCATTTTGTCCTAGTCCTCTAATATGTCGTGGTAGATCATGTAATCTGTATATCTGATATCGTCGATGATCCCAACCCTCCGCAGCAAGTGCATCTGCAACCTGGTTTCCTTCTCTATAAATGTGAGAAACCGTGTCTCTCTCAAAGGATATGATATATGTGATACGTCTAAGTATTCCCTGAATAGCCCAAGGTCCTCCTCCTCTAGTGATGCAGTGAATAGCTTCTGTAGAATCAGACTCTACCCAAATCGCTGAAAACCCAAGTCCAAGAGCTAGTAAAATCCCATCAAGAATAGCCCGGAGCTCTACCTCTAAAATCAAGCATGGTCCATACGAAGCAGTCCTCCCATATGAAAAAAAGAGATCATACGATAAACCCTTTAAATCATCTGAGGAAAAGGTGTAAAACAAAGAAAAGGATATTTGAAATGGTGTGACGAGTTATCAATCTGCCGNTCCATGAGCTAGAAAAATCCCATCAAGAATAGCCTGGAGATCTACCTCTAAAATCAAGCATGGTCCATACGATTCAGTCCTCCCGTTAGAAAAAAAGAGATCATACGATAAACCCTTTAAATCATCTGAGGAAAAGGTGTAAAACAAAGAAAAGGATATTTGAAATGGTGTGACGAGTTATCAATCTGCCGCTTCCAATAGAACCTGAACCTGAGCACCTAAAATTACAAAGAACAACTTTTTTTTTTTGCCGAGTTATCAATTGGCCATAAAGAGGATTCACATAATGGTTTGTGGCTTCAAATGAAACCTGTTATTTCAGTTGTTTTCACTATTGCAATGTCCAAAAAGACTACCATTCAGCAGTTGAGAAAATTCTACTTCAACATGCATGTGAGTAAATTACTTAATGAACCAAAGTACACATGGACACCAATGTCGAAGAGAAACACGAATAATCTGGACCCAAATAATAGGTAAAACTAGGCAACCTAAATAATCTGGTCCCAATTTTCTAAGAATGTGTTGTATCATACCAGATTCAAAGCAAAAGAATACGCAGTATTTTCTTGGTTGTCTGGAGCATTATGAGGGGGTCTCTGGTCAGTTGGTGAACAAGGACAAGAGCGGACTCATAAACTTTTCCTTATTTTTTAATCACACATTCTCCATCATAAGACTATTGCAAAATGCATTTTTTTTGGTAAAAAATGGGGTTCAAACAAGCCCTTAATTGTTGATTTTAACTTAGAAAACAATTAAATACAATTAAAAAACAATTAAACATAATCAGAAAAATTGGAAGACAAAAAACAAAATTGAAACTTTAGTACAAAGATAAAAAAAAAAAAAGGAAAAAATAATAATAAGTGGATCCAAAAAATCCCAAAACAGATTACATAACACATAGAAAAGTATAAGTTTAATTAAAATATTAATCAATGCAATTGTTAGAATTTGGGTGTAACCCAAATTCCTTGTTGAAGTAATTGAAGAATTCTAATTGAAGTGCACGTCATGAAGAATTCAAATTTGGAATATTATTGGAGTCCTATGTCGTGTTGAAGTTCTATTTTGGAAGCCCATTGGGAGTTGGAATTTGTTTTGAACTCAATTTTATGGTATCCTACTTCATCAACAACTCGACTAGGTGGGTTTGGACATCCCCTACTTATTCCCCATAAATACTAGGCTTTTCTATACAATTTTATGGTTTGAGAAAATAGATTATTAGAATTAGAGGATCCATTATAATTTTCTCTCTTCTCCATTATTTTTGAGTCATTATAAATACTAGGCTCTTCTATAGAATTTTATAGTGTGAGAAAATAGATTACTAGAATTATAGGATCCATTGTAATTTTCTCTCTTCTCAATTATTCTCGAGTCAATAAAATCTCTTAATTCATCTGCCATATTCTTGTCTTTCTTATTCTTTTGCTTGATCATATACTTTATTATTATTTACCATGTAACTTCAACATCTCAATTTGGTGGTTTGTTCCATAACAATTGGTATCAGAGCTATTCTGGTATCTTGATTGTTTTGTAACAAGTGGTATCAGAGCCCAGGTTCAGCAGTTCCACAGCGCTAGGGCTTTTTTTATTTGTTTGAAGTTTTTTATTCGTGATGGCTTCCATGAAGTATGACATTCCGCTTTTGGATCGGAGCACTAGATTTTTGCTATGGCAAATTAAGATACATGCAGTACTCACACTACTAGATTTGGATGATACGTTGCTGGAAATTGACAAGATGCCCACAACTTTAACCACATAGGAGAAATTACGGAAGGATAAGAAGGCTGTTTCTCACATTCATCTTCATCTATCAGCTACTATTCTTTAGGATGTTTTGAAGGAGAATTCAGCAGCTGCTTTATGGTTGAGGCTGGAGTAATTGTGCATGACTAAAAGTCTGATAAGCAAGTTAAACCTCAAGCAGCATTTATACTCTCATCGAATGG